TAGTTTGCCAGTTGGACCCAATATTGTAATGTCTTTAGGAAAACAAAATCCTGGATCATAAATTGTATTTAGTTATCATGTCCCTTTACTTTCCATTCATCTGAATCAGTTATTCATCTTTTTAATTTATAAATATATAGTCTACAGATTATTCTACAGATTGGCTCTCCGTCTGGGATTATTTGTTGTTAACCCATGATTAGATTAAGGCAATAGTCAGATTAAGGCTATTAAAGCATTTTGTTTAGAGATACAAGATTCCTCTCTGTCTCATTACTTCAAAGAGTACCATTAATTCTTTGAATCAGGCTGTGTCTGCCAAGATTTTTCACCACATAATTACATTTCTTCTTGTAGTTCATTATGAGAAATACTTTGAGATAATAGATGTTCTAATCCTTATTAAACTTTCACCCTTTAGTTTTATAATCTATTGGTGGATCTTATTTGAATCAATTATTTCCTAATTTCTCATTTTGTATATATGTGTTAATCTGGGTTCTGTATTAATTTTTTTTACTATAATTTGTTTTGATACTGAAACTGTCTCACATTTAGTCTACGGAAGCCCCTTGAAATTGGCCAGTATGTCTTTTTGTCATGACCTCATCCTCTCTGAGTGTCCTGTTCATTCCTGATGAAGATATTCAGGTTTACCTTGTGTCTTCCACATAGGGTAAACAGTGATTGATATGCAAAATTCTGCCACCAGGATTGTGCCTGCTCTAGTTTGTTTGGCAAACTAAATGCTTAGAATTCATCAGATTTTCAACTAATGTGGTCAAACTAATTAACACATAAATTCTATTCCTTGGACTCCCACCAATCAGATTGCTTCTTAGGTAACATGACAATGTGTGTTATGAAAACTCCAAATCTTAAAATCATGCCCAGTTCTGCCACCGTCACTTCTCTGAGGCTCACTTTCCTCATTTATCAAAGAAGGTGAGAAATGGCAGCCTCTGCAAAATTATCACAGAGAATTTTAAGAACTTTCTAAAAAAATATATGGTTTTTTTTGGTGATACTAGGATTTGAATTTTAGGCCTTGTCCTTGTTGGCAGGTGCTGGATCAGTTAAGTCACATATCTTCAGCCCTTTTTGCTTTATTTTTCAAATAGGATCTTACTTTTTGTGTGTGGCCAACTTTAGACCAATAAATATCCTCCTACTTAGCGTCTCCTACATAGCTGAGATGACAGTGTGTGCTTCCACACTAGGCTTACTGCTTGAGATGGAGTCTTGCTAACTTTTCCCAGGCTAATCTTGAACTGAACATCCCTCAATTTCTGTCACCTGAATAGCTGGGACTATGGGTATGAATCACTATGCTCAGCCTCAAAATATTTTTGATGAAAAGTGTAATTCTGTCGATATTAGTATCATCAAATGTGTTAGGCATTATTCCTATCTTTTGTCTTTCTCTGCAGATAGCCATTAAATTATTTTATTATTGACATTTGGAAAACTAAAGAAAGATTGTATTTAAATGACAAACTCAAGGTCAGATCATTAACAAAGGAAAACCAGAAATAGATCTATGATCTCTTGATAGCATTTTTTTCTCAAGTAGGATAATTAAATTAAAATGTAACAAGGCAAATCAAGGGTACCCGATAAGAACTTCCAAATCATTGAGTCCCTCAGGATACTTGAAGAAAATCTATTTATTAGGTAGCTTTTAAATTAGCATGAAGCCTAATCCCCATGCTGCTCACATGAGACCTGAAAAACCTGATTTTTAGGAACTATTCAGTCTATGTAATTGGTTGGTTTCTTTTGTTCATGTCTTTCAGGCCAGAGAGGGCAACTTCTTTGTGCCAATTGGTATTATGGACTTTTATGTATAGCCTTAAAGGAAACAGAAGCAAAACTGTTTTCCAATCACTAGAATTTGTGAGTAATGTCCTATTATGTTCTTTTATTACCTGTTTCCACTTCTATTTTACAAAGATGTACTGGATGCCAACTGAGATGGCATCCAGTGTGGCATACACCTTGTTGTGTGACCACAAAAACTCCAAAGTGAATAATTTACTCCTACTCAGCATCTATTTCATGGTCTATTATGGAGAAATATGGAACAGTCTTGGGGTTTACAATAACTAGTTTAAAGTGAGATCATTTAATTTGTTCAGTTGTTCTGGCTAAAGTGTGAAATAGGTTGAAAGTTGAGTTTAACAGGGTTGAGTTTCTTTCTAAGCAAGTGTCTGGAAGATGAGAAGGACAAGGAAGTGATTGTAATTATAAATGAGTGGTTCTCAATCCCTTTGATCTTAGGGAACTTTTATATACTTAAAGCCTTCAAAGAGCTTTTATTTGTTAAGCTAGGCTCTGGTGGCTCACACCTGTAATCCTAGCTACTCAGGAGGCTGAGATTTGAGGATTGCGGTTCAGCCTGAGCAGCAAAGTCCGTGAGACTCTTTATCTCCAATAAATCACCAGAAAACCAGAAGAGGCGTGGTGGCTCAGGTGGTAGAGCAAAAAGCTAAGCAACAGTGAAAAGCTCTGAAGCTCCAGTACCAGCACAAAAAAGGACTACTACATGATTCTGCTTATATGAAGTATCTAAAATAGAATGCATACAAGCAAAATCTAGGATGACAGGGGCTGGAAGTAGATAATGGAGAATTGTTGCTCATTGAGTATATTTCAACCGTAAGATCAATAAGATAACAAGTACTAAAAATCTTCTGTACATAGTGCCTATACTTAATGATGTGTATTATACACTTAGGCTTTTGCTAAGATAGAACTTATGTTCTTAAGAGAAGAACAGTGAAAGAGAGAAAAAGACAGAGACAAAGGAGGAGGAAACACAAGGAAAGTTTTAGTGGTGTTAGATTAACATCTTACACATAGTCTCTGGAAAGTTCTACTGGGAAAAGATGAGTATACAAAGGAAAAATAATGTTTAGTGTTGAAAGGTTTCTAGGACCCAGACTATGCTCTGAGAACTACTAACTATAATATTTTCCAGTTTTTTATGTGTATATGTTAGAAATTGGACCTAGGGGCCTCATACACACTAAGTATATATGTACTCTGCCATTGAGCTACACCTTTATCTTATATCCGTTTTATTAGTAGTGGACTTTTAGATAAGTTCAAATTTTCATTTATTATAAATACTTTTCCTCTGGGTATTCTTCTATATAATGCTACATAATGCTAATGCACATGTATAAGAATGTCTCTGGAGGCTGAGAAGGTGGCTTAATGGTAGAGTGCTTGCCTTGCATGCCTGAGGCCCTGGGTTCAATTCCTCAGCACCACATAAGCAAAAAGAAAAAAAAAGCCGGAAGTGGCGCTGTGGCTCAAGTGGTAGAGTGCTAGCCTTGAGCTGAAGAGCTGAGGGACAGCACCCAGGCCCAGAGTTCAGGCCCCACGACCGGACCCAAAAAAAAGAATGTCTCTGGGGTAAGTGTGCTTGCACATGCCTTCAATTGTCATTTTTCTCTATTCTCATGGGCACACCTAAGTGTGGATTTGGGTCTTACAGCTCAATAATTTTCCAGTGACTTAGATTCCATCAGTAATTTTGAGTTCTAAATAATTTCATCATTATTAGGTATTGTCAGTTATTTTAATTTTGGTGATTTTTGTTGGAGGTACAGTTCTAATTTATGGGGGGGGGGAGTTGTTTTGTTTTATTTTTGTTGGTCGTGGGGCCTAAACTCTGGGCCTGGGTACTGTCCCTCAGCTCTTCAGCTCAAGGCTAGAGCTCTACCGCTTGAGCCACAGTGCCACTTCCTACTTTTTCTGTTTATGTGGTGCTGAGGAATAGAACCCAGGGCCTCATGTGAAGCAAGCACTCTACCATTGAGCCACCTTCCCAGCCCCTAATTTATGTTTTAACAAACTTTTCAGCAACTTATATTTGCTTACTGATTATTTGTACATTAATTTTTGTGAATATCTCTTCAAGTCTTGTCTATTTTTAAGTTTTAGGCTGCCAGTCTTATTACGATTTTTAGTTATTTATAGTAATCTAGATGTGTTTTTTGCATGTTTTTATTTTCTTAAATATTTTTATGAAGAATCTTTGTTTTTTATTTTGTTTTTTAGTTCTGGGGTTCATACCTAAAACCTAACACATGGTAGACAAATATTCTGTCACTAAAGCCACATGTCCAGCTTAGAATTTTTTTCCTTTTAATAAAGTTAGATATATAATTTCTCTTTCATAATTTTAGTGTTTTTGTTTCTTGTTTAATAAATCTTTGCCCCTACCTTGTTCTCTAGTTAGGTCTATGTCATTTCCTCTCATCTACCCTCATGATCTATTATTCTTGGTTAGACATACATCAATATTCAGTTTTCTCATGAGAGTTCCTCCCTGCCTTTGCATCTGTATTCTCACAAGCTTTTTTCCTTGTTTTCCTTTTGGGAGGGACTCAGAAAGCTCCTTCTTGAGATTTGAACTCATGGCTTCTCTCCTTGCTAAGCAAGCACTCTGCCAATTGAGTCTTTTTCCCCCCTGGCCTATTTGTTATCTTGATGATTGCCATCCTGACTAAGGTGAAATGGAATCTCACTGTTTAGATTAGCATATCCTTTATGACTAAGAATTTGAACATTTCTCCATGTGTTCACTGACCATTTGTACTTCTTTCAAAAACTATTCAGCTTATCTGCCCATTTAATAATGGTTATTAATTGAGATATTTTGGTGTTAAATTTTTTTAGTTCTTTACATATTCTGAATATTATCTGATTAGTAACTTACAAAGATTTTCTATTTTATGCTTTAAATTTAATGTTTTTAATTTTAATGTTTTCATCCCATATCTGCTAGACAGATAATTTAAAACTTTCAATTGTAGACAATGTAAATTAAATTTTCTTTTGCTGTTGTCTAAACAGTTAGGTCAAAGGCCAGAAAACTAGCTTCCTGGGATGTAACTACTCATGCCAGAGCACGGTCATTTTATTTTCTTCTTTGGGGGACGGGAATGCAGAGAGATGAAGAGGTGATAGAATGAGTCTTTTTCTTGCAGTTGTGATTCCAAAGAGTCCCTATCCAGCATCTGAAGTGAACTCTGAGAAGCCCAGCATCCACAGCAGCAAAACTATCTTGGAGCATCAACCAGGGCAGAAGGGACGTAAACCAGGAAAGAAGAGGGGCCGAACACCTAAGACTCTTATTGCCCATACCATCTCTACCCAATCCAAGTCAACTGAACCTTTGAAATTCCCAAAGAAGAGGGGCCCCAAACCTGGCAGTAAGGTAGGTAAAAATGCACTTCCCAGAAAAGTATAAGGGGTTAGAAAAGAGTAATTCACCAGGCACAGGTGTCTCACACCTATAATCCTAGTTCATGGTTTGAAGCCAGTGTGGTCAGGAAATTCTGTGAGACTCTTACCTCTAATAAACTACTATAAATCTGGAAATAGAACTGTTGCCCAAGTAGTAGAGCACTGTCCTTGAGCAAAAGAAGCTCAAAGATAGAGCCCAGGCCCTGAGTTCAAACTCAGCACAAAAAGGGGGCGGCGGTAATTTATATTCATATCCATTCATCTTTAAAAGAGCCCTATTCTACCTCCACATGATTTTAAAAGGACTACCTTAGTTTATCATTTCTTCCCAGTACCTACATATAATTTGGTAATATTAGAAAAAAGAGAGTAGTGATAGGAAACAAATTTTGACTTGAAAATTATATAACTTCCATAGATAGAAGGCCCTGCTTCTAATTAACTTTCCCAGAGTAGATGTCCAGCAAATAAAGAGAGGAAATTAATTCTTTGAATGTGTTTATTTTTGCTATCCCTACCTCCTCTTCTTAAAAAAAAATACTACCTATTTAGTGTCAGACTCTATATTAGATGTCAATACTTACATATCATAAGATCTCAGAATTCTGGGAGACAGTGTTAACATTATTTTATTAAGTAAATTAGCAGATACAGGAAATATTTTCCTAATGAGTGGCAAATTATACATCCATTGCTTCCAAATCTTTTATCTCCAAGGTCACTACTGCCCTACCACATGTTCACTCTTAAGCAATATAACACTTGTACTGGGAAAGACTGATGAATCAAGCCTTACTGAACATGAACTTAGTCATGCTAGTTTTCATGAGTATCTTCTCTAAGAAAAACATTGGTGTGAAAAGGTTTCTCAGTAGCATCTCTAGGACCTCTTTAACATCACCTCCTGCGCTCACTTCCTAACTATAGAGACTTCTTGAAACACCCTTCTTGAACTAGAATATTTGTGTTTTGGTGTGGAAATGATGCCTGGTTTTCTGTGGACAGTCAGTTTCAGTATCATATTCTTCAGGACTGGTTAATTGACTGGTTTGTTGATCTGTTTTGTTCATTTAGTAGTCCTATCTTCAGTGCTCATAGAATATAAGCTTCTCAAGGTCAATACCCCAATCTTTTCCTTTTCTTTTTTTTTCCTTGACTACACTATATCTCAGTCTTTTAGATTATCAGTATACACAGGACGGATGGATGGTTTTAGGGATGGATAAGACCAATCCCAGTTGTCTCTTATTTACTGACTAGGAATTCTCCTATATAAGATATAATGATGTTTCTTATCTAGTACCACTATCCCTAAACCCAGTTTTGAGTCATTTTTATCTCTGTTAGACTCCCCTCTTTCTCATGTTGTGTAGAAGTTGAGTGCACTAAGGATGCTAAGGCTAGAAAAAGCATGATTTTGATTATGTAGACACATAATGAATGTAATCAAAATATGGAAAAACATATCTGAGAAATTCTAAAGACAGAATCAGAACCAATAAACAAATTTAAATTACAGGTCTTGCTCTCAACAAAGAAGGATCAGTTAGCGCTATCTCAAAATAGAAGGAACAGTTAATGAGTCCCTGCTACTAGAGAAATTTTATCAAGAACTAGATGACTCTTTAGGAGAAATATTTTCATAAAGAGGGAGGTAGAAGTACTGGCTGGATAGCTAGATTAAATGGCTGTTAAGACTTCAAAACCTAAAAACTTCGATTATTACTGCTTCTGCTATACTCCCCCCAGAGTATCCTTTGCCCTTGTATTAGTATGCATTAGCAATATGAGGGGGGATTTCATAATGAGATTTCCACTCATGTACACATTCTTTTTTCTTATGTGTGCCCCCACAATTTCAAGAAATTTCATCTATTTGAATAGTATCAATTCACACTTTCATGAAAGAGCTCAAATCTCTCACATTAATACCCCCCCAATAGACCCGACTTTTCTTTCTCCTCCCCTACTTTCCTGTTGATCAACAGCTTTCATTTTTATGCTGTTTTTTATGCTGTTTTCTATATACAGTTGCAGTGTATCTCAAAATTATTTACTTGTTTTTCCCTCCTAGTCTTTCTGTCCTTCATGAAAGCAGTCATCATTCTTACCATATCCTGGCATTTGAATGATTCCCCTTCCTGTTATTTTTCCTAATTCCATAAAAGTATGTGCCTTCTGTGTAGCCCATGATTCTTTACATTCTTTTTTGAAGCAAAAAGGAAGACTTTTGAAGCCAGGCAGATTTAGTTTTAGGTCTTATCTATGTTTGTGGCCACTTGTGTGATCTTAGGAGAGCTTCTTTGGGTCAGTCTCTATGCCTCATTTTTCTCCCATATAAGAACAGGATGAGGTAAGCTGCATGCCAGTGGCTCACACCTGTAAACCTAACTACTTTCAGTATTGAGATCTGAGGACTGTGGTTCAAAGCCAGCCTGGGAAGGGAAGTCCATAGGATGTATCTCCAATCAACCACTAAAAGGCTGGAAGTGGGGTTGTGGTTCAAGTGATAGAGCACTAGCCTCAGACACAGCAGTTCAGGAACATGGCCCAGAGTTCAGGCCCTAAGATCAGAAAAAAAGGAAAAGAAAAAATAGAGATGAAGTAATGTGTGAAGAGCTACAACACATGAAAGGTCACCTATCTCAAACTGTAATAATACTTTTCATCTTTCTGCTTTCTTTCAAAATACTCAGGCACCTAACACCAGACTTGCTCCTTCAGAAACTGAAATCTTGCCACAAACTGATTGAAGTTTAACTATAATTACCATATTTTTCACCCAAAAATGTAAGCAGTCATCTATTTCTAATGAGGGTTTACAACATGGCCTTTCCTAGGCAAGGCCATCTGATATATGCCTGTTGCCATCAGTGTGATCTCCTTATACTGTGTCCACAGAAAGCAGATTTATATAGCTCCTGACAGTAGACCGTATATGAGACACTTAATGAAAGGCACTTAGTTAATTCCTGTGATAGTTGTGGTAACTTTGCATTCAGAAAGGCTCTTAAAAAAATGTTTCTTGGGCTGGGCACCAGTGTTCATGGCTGTTATCCCAGCTACTCAAGAGGCTGAGATCTGAGGATCACGTTCAAAGCCAGCCCGAGCAAGAAAACCTATGAGACTTTTTATCTCCAATAAAACAGTAGGAAACTGGAAGTAGCCCTGTGGCTCAAGTGGTAGAGCACTAGCCTTGAGCTGAAGAGTGAGGGACAGTGCGCAAGCCCAGAGTTCAAGCCCCATGACCCACAAAAAAAAAAAAAAGTTTCAAGACCTTTCTTCCCAATATTGCCTTGAATAGCATAGATTTCTCTCAGGTTCTCTTTATTACTCCCCTATTATTGATTATCTATTTTGTATGCTTCATGAAAAACTTGTATTAATACAGATTCAAACCCTTAAACAGCTTCAGGCTAATAGGGGCACCAAAATCTGAACATGTATTGACAGTACATCAACAAATGGAATAAACAAAGTACTATGAAGGAGTTATCAAAGAAGTAGTAGAGGAAAACTTAGGGAGGCTTCCTAAATGAACAGAAATTTGTAAAGCAAATAAAAGAAGCAAGGGCATAGACTGAGCATGACTCAAGAAATTGAGTGCTTCCTACTAAGCAAGAGACCCTGAGTTCAAACCCCAGTACCACCACACAAAAAAATAAATAAATGAACAAGAACAGGAGAGACAGTTTAATCCTGTGAAGGTATGGGCCAGGTACAACTGTACTTCATATTTCTAGAGAAATAATATAATTAGAGATTATTAGAGTGGGATGTTTAAAGGGAGGGCAGGAAATAAGCTGAAAAGGAAGTAGGCAGAAGAAAGTATTTTATAGAGTTATGAGGGTCATTTCCATTTAAAGAGAAACAAAATATAAAAACATACCATATGTTCTCCTTTTTGGTTTTAATCCACCCAGTTTATTATAAAGGATCTCAAATTTTATATGGTAATATTAAATGTTAATGCACTGTAAAAGTGCAGTTAGCTCTGTCTTCAGAAAATCAGCATTGTGTACATAGATTCAAAAAATGTTAAGCATTCACTGTATATATAACTTTGAGCAAGTTGCTGAGTGAAAAAGATAAAATGAAGTTATACCTACAAATACATTTTTATATCATAGGTGAATTAATTACTAGAAATAGAGGAATTAGATGGCAAGTTACTGATCACAGGTAGCAAACTTTTCCCCATCCATTTTAACAGAGAAAACCTCGGACTTTGCTGAGCCCACAACCCACTTCACCAACAACCAGCACCCCTGAACCGGATACCAGCACTGTCCCCCAAGACGCTGCTACTATCCCCAGCTCAGCCATGCAGGCCCCCACAGGTAAGAGAGGCTGGAACTAGCTACAACAGGCCCCAAGCCCCAGTGACTTACACTTCCTCTTGTCTTTTACCTGGAACTTAACCCCTGCAAATTTGTAAACCTAGATACAGTCTTTCTCTAAATGTTTTGTCTTTGGCATTTGAAAGAGTCTTAGAGAAACTTTCATTCTATCACAACAATCAGAAGCTTGGGTAAGTGTTCTTCTGAGGAACTGGGGCCAGCTGGGGAGAAAAGAGGAAGCACCTGGAGCTCCCTGACCCAGTTTAGAATATTACTCATTCTGTCCAGTTAGGGGTGCTCTCAATGATCCCTTCTACCATCCAGTACCCTTCTAGCCTTCCAGTAGTCCTGTCATGATTCAGATATGTATGAAACTCTTCTGATTGGGGACAGGGGATAGTACTGGGGTTTAAACTTAGGGCTTTGCTCTTGCTCAGCAGGTGTTCTATCATTTGAGCCATTCCTCCAGCCCCTTATACATTGGTTATTTTCAAGATAGGGTCTCAGTTTATACCAAGGCCAGCTCAGACTATAATCCTCCTATTTGTGTTTCCCTTTGTCACTGAGATGACAGGAACACACCACTACACCCAACCATTGTGCTTCCCCTACAGCTTGGCCACTACACCCAACCATTGTGCTTCCCCTACAGCTTGGGATAAAAGGTAAATATCCAGCCATTGGTCAAGATGGAATCCCACAAATTTGTATATCCAAACTGTCACAACCCTCCATCTCTGCCTCCCAAGTAGCTACAGGTTACAGGCTTGAGCCACCATGCTCAAGCCCTTCTTACTCTTTTAAAACAATCATTGATGGTGCTAAACATTCAGTGAGAGTGAATTTGATTTCTGAGACCATCCACTAACTGGTTGATTCAAAACAAAATCTGGTAACTGAGTAGGATGATACAAATCTGTTAGAGTTTTATGTGTGTGGATCAAAATTTAGTATTTTATTATTATAAAATTAAGTGTTATTCTCAATTGAGCCATGAGGTACACTGTGATAACTTTTCTTTTACTGGATAT